GAAAGGGAAGCGGGAGCAATACACTCACCTCCTACCTGGCAGGCTGCTCAGTCTCGGGCTCAGTACGACGGTACCTACACCAGCTACGAGTTACCAAATGCCCGTACCAATGGATTTCCACTGCACCCTCTCAGGGCTGCTGGTTCCAGAGCGAAAAAGACCTGGAATGGATGAGCGCTACTGCCTTTTGTGGCTCTTCTCATTGGTTAGATGATTGAAAATGCACTGGCTGAGTCATCTCACGTGACCAGAGACCGACCGAGACATAGAGAGCCCTTTTCACTCCAGTTGAAGGAGCAGACCACCAGGAGGTCATTGGGCCAGGGCCATATGCAGCAGGGCAAGGCCTGCGATAGATAAGTCGATTGTATAAATTTTGATACAAAGGTCCATTTAGCTACTTGTACCTTAAATCCCTGAACAAGCTGCCCGTCTCCCTAGCCAAATAGCTTCTCATTATGTTCATTTCAGTAGACTACAGCAGGCAGCCCTGTGCTCCATAGCTCTCTCTCCTTGTCTTTGTCGTCACCACTACCACTACCACTCCGTAAGATACCTGACTACTTAAGTTACCTAGTACTGTATCATACACCCGGAAATACCAATACAATCTGCCCCTCCTTCTGCGCCCTGCACTCAATCTCCCTTCCCACCTAGTCAGTGTTCGTAGTATGGAAACAGTTCCAATGTGTCCCTCCCTGCTGTTTCCCTTCAGGTTCCCTTCAACATCCTCCCCCTCCCTCCCTGTCATTTTTCCCACCTCTTCGCTTTCCCTTTGCTTGTTTTGGTTTTGCTGCTTTGAAGCACTTACCCACTCCCCACTCCCGTGACCCCGGCGACCAAAGAAAAAAAAATCCATCGCACAAACCACTTTCACTTTCACTCACTCACCCACTCACCCACTCACCCACTTGCTGTTGTTGTTTTGTTTTGTTTTGAGATCCACCGCAGCTGATCTTTCCATGCCGATTCTTTGATCTTCTTTTTTTCTCCCGATCGCTCATTCCTCAGTGGGTGATAGACTGCTGTGGCTTTTTCTCTGCATCTGAAAGCTTTTTATTTTTTTTTTATTTTGAGTTTGGATGTCCGACAGGTCTCGCGACCTGACAGCTAATTGCAAGGTCTAATCTTTTGTGTAGAGAACAATAGTCGAAAAAAGTTCTAACAATCTTGTACTTCTCCTATGAGTAGTTCGCTTGAAGGGGTTGCAAATACGGAGTACTCAGTTGTATCTGAGACCCGTCTCAGATCGCCGCTGGAAGAACCCATGTGACACACTGAGGAATTTAAAACACTGGAAATACCCCAGAAGCATGCGCACGCCCTTCTGCTTCTGTTGTTGTTTATGTGGGTTTCCCTAGTAGAAACCGAGACAGCTTGGAGATGGAATCATTGGCCCCTCTAGGTTGTTCCTTTTCTCAACATGGGGATATCGTACATACGTAGGTACTATAGTATTTTGACTCTTATATTGACTGTCGCATGCAAAGGCATTGTTCACTGAGATCTCCCTAGTACACTGAAATATGCTATTCAATGATCTCCTCGTCCGATTCCTCATCCCCGTCCTCGTCTTCATCCTCATCATTCCCCATTTCTGCATCCAGGTCTAATACCTCGTATCGCATCCCGTCACCGTACATGACACAAATTGCCCGGCGACCACGGCGGCCATTGACATCAATTCCCACGGGTCGAGCTTTGCCCTTGGCCCCAATGAAGCTGTGTTTGATGATTCCCAAATCCTGGGAGCTGGGCGCAAGAATGTCCACCTTCATCGTAGTGCTTAGCGGTGCATCTGTTCGCTCGTTATCAAGTACATCGCGGTACTCGATGGAGAAGACGGGGTCCAAAACCTCTTCATCAGCTCCCATTGCCGCGGCAGGCTGAAAGGGAAGGTTGAGTAGATACGATGTTCCTTCTAATGTGCATTGGGATTAGCATTGCGGCTATCGGCATAACGCTTCACACGGATGACAACGATGATTACTTACTCTCACTCGACCACAAAATCACCATGGTATCATCCTCCACAAACTGTAGCTGTCGAATCTCCCCGCCCTGGATATCGACAACCGCGGTGGAGATGCTCTGCGTCGAGCTCACTCCATTTTCGGAATCTAGAACTACGCGGTAGCAGCAGACTGGTCGGTCACAGCCTTCGATCAGCCAAAGTCGGTTCACGTAGGCAGGAGGGTATCTTACGGAGGTGCCTGGCCTTGACCGATCTGGTAGCAACGTAGATCACACAACTGTCTTCGTCCTTGCTGGTTGCCTAGCAAAGTGTTAATAAACCAAGCTTAAGAAGACCGGAGTAGACGGGTTTACCTCGTGGCGCATGGTCACGTCAATGACATCTCGGTCACAGTCGGGGTGAAGGGTTAGAGGTGACCTGTGCAGGATACCTCTGCGCTGCGTCAAAGCAATCTGTCCGAATACTTTGTCAAATTGCAGCCCCAAAAGCTTCGTCAAGTCATTCATCTTAGGCGGTGCCACTGCATCAGCTTCGCTCGAGGCATGACTCTGCTGCCCCAGCAATGATTTAAAGGTGTCATAGAATGAGCGCCCTTGCCCTACCTGCGCCCATTTTTGCGAAGCATCCGGAGGAACTGGGGGTCTTGGAACTCCCATCATAGGTAGCTGCCGGATGAAGTTCCGTAGCGCACTCTTGGTTAAAGCGCCTCTGATGTACTTGAGAGTCTGCGGGTATTCCACCATGTCCGTCTTCTCCATCAGCTCTTCCAAAGTCTGCGACATTGGTTCCGCAGATTGCATGTCAATCTCATGGCGCAGCCACCGGGAGAAAGCATTGAACTGGGTTAGCTCCTCATTTGCATTGATGAGGATATGATGGCCAAGAAGATGGAGACAATCGAGCGTCTCCACGATGGCGTTGAGATCCGTAGTTTCTAGCCCCAGCACCTCACTCAGCTTGTGGAACTTAGACAGCCCAACCAAGCGACTGAGCAGCACTTGACATCTTTCCAAGGCTGGAAGGAGGCACTCGTGGGTCAATCGCCGGACATTCTCGTAGCCAGACGACACAGCCTTCTCCCACCGTTTGTGTCCCTGTAAGCCACAGAGAAAGGATGGTTAACCGCTCACGCCTTCCCAGCTAGACCAGGAACCACACACTTACCCGTTCACCAACAATCTCAACAAGGAATTCCTTCAAGGGTTCAAAACAGTTCCCCGTCACCACCAAGTGATATGCCGCCGTGACGAAATCGCAATGACATTTTTCTTGTAGATCCTGGTCAATGCTGCGCATGTAACGCGCCGGCAACTCCTGTGCATTCTTCCATTCAAGCTCAATCTGTCTCTGGACCTGGCCGATATACCGCAGAAGATTCTGTAGCTGCGTCGTCTTGTGTGCTAGCAGCGAGAGATATCTCCCCGACCTGGTAATGAAGCGCAGATCGAGCGTAACCAAGTGTAACAGTTCCGGAGCACCATCCGGTTCCCCGGCCAAGAGTGCATGCGTCGAGCTCAGCGGATGGGAGGCATGTCGGATAATGCGACCAGGGCTGTAACGCGCAACAGAGCCTTGCACCTGGAAAGAACCGATTTCGAAGCAGTCGAAGATACGCAGATGCACTGTGCCGTCATCAAACCCGACAAGCAGCACATCAACAGCGTCGCTGGTATTCTTAGTCGATGAATGGAAGATCGCATCGATAGATGCTCTGGAGCTGAACACATCATCACTACACCCCACGTTAGCCCCATGAAACAACACGACCTCTTTCTTCATGGCTTCATTGCATCACAATATGCAAAAAAACACTTACTCACTCCCCGTCGCAGGCAAAGTACTCAATTTCGGCAAAGAACTCTCGACATCCAGCAATGCCAGTTCTCGTGGCAGATCGGCTTTGAGCAGCGCTGCTGCCCGGGACGGATGGGTATCAGGCGACAGCAGATCTTCCACGGTGAGCTGGCCAGCGGCGTCGTGCAAATGTCGCTGGGCGACTTTCGTGTCGGTGAAGTTTACGCCCCAGCCTATACACGTAGCCTTGACCGCTTGTCGAGCCGCGTCGCCCTCGGCCTGGGGATAAGCGGGATAATGGTGGACTGTTTTGCCACTGTAGGCACTGATGATACGGACGGTGTTATCCGCACACGCGACTGCGAGTAAATGACCTAGATAAAAGTGTCAACCATCCTTGCTCAAACCGAAAACAATGAGGTTTCGATTTCAGCGCCTTGGAGGTGAGACCCAGAGCCAGCGATCGTATCGATGGAAAGAGGGGGGTCATTAGGAATACATACCTGTGTTCTTCCACATCAACCCGCGAATCTCTCCTCCACCATCATCCTCATCAAAATACGGATCGCCCTTGTAAGAGCCTCCAAAGACCTTCTGTCCGTTGAGTCGGAAGACGCGTAGCTCGTCGTCCTCTGTGACTAGAGCAATGAGGTCCATCGTAGGGCAGTATGCCAGCGCGCCGGCCTTGCATTTTGCCGGCAGGGACTTCTCCCCGACAGGCGTGAGCTGCGGCTCATAGGGGGGCTGATAACCATCGTCTTCAGCCATGTTATTATGTTTCCTGACCCTAGCCCATTATAGTGGCGATTATATGGAGGGCACAATGACTGCAGCTATCGTAATGCCGTCCCCTTCCTAGCAGCTGTCGTTGGTCGGGGTGGTGGTGGATAACGGGCGCTCTTGGCGGGCGGAAGAGATGCTCCTCTAGTAATCGCCTTGGTGCCTGGCGATCCGCCCACTAACTACTGTTTGGCTTCGAACTTCCTCGCTTCCCCAAGAAATGCCGATAATAGTTTTCGCAGTGATAAAAAACATTAGAATCTGCTATCTGGGCCAAGGGTGAATAGCATGGTTTTCATCTCACAAGCCAAGCCGCAATCTCTAACTTACACAATTCATATACACAACACAGCCAGACATCAAGCAATCGAATTATTCTCAGATTATATTACACTAGAATACTTAAGGTGAACGACATATATATGGCTTCAATGAAGACAAAGCTTATATCTTATATCTCCGCACTGGCTCCTGACTCAATCATACCTTTGAGGTAACTGAGCTCAGTCATCATTTCCCGCATGGCGGCAGATTGTCCCAATAGGGACGCTCTGCTCAGTCGGTTATTGACCGGATCTGATACAGCACGCCTTTCCTCCTGCAAGAGCTCTATCTCATCCTTGAGATGCTCTGGAAAGCCCACTACAGTAGGGTCGGGGCTGTGTAGAAGGCCAAGGCCTTGAATAGACTCAACTCCTCCGAAGAACGCTGCATGCCGCTTGGGGTTACTCTCCACGCAATCCTCCTCATCGTTGATGCACAGGTCAGACAAACTGAGATCGGACGGCGATAGCGAGATGGAAAGACGGGGGAGCGGAAGATCAAGAAGAGGCGAATCCCCTGCAACGGAGGTAGCTGTAGACTTGGAATTCACCGTGAGGTGAGGTGTATCCGGGTCACTCATCTCTCCTGCGACTGATGTCTTCAGGTAATCGGCGTACCCTGAAACGTAGGTGTCGGGAAGAGCTGGTACGTCTTGGTTGAATGGGGCTGAACATGTCATAGACTCCGGAGAAAGAAGTTCTGTATCGGTACTCCATTCAGAAAAATGGCTTCGTTCACACACCGAGCTACCTGCCACAGAATCCGTATCAGTGAAATCGGAGAAGTGGCTAACCATAGCCTCCGTATCAAAAGCCTTTCCTCGAGCATCAATCTCGCGCAACGCCTCGTCCATGACCGAGGATGGAGAGTTCGGCAGTGTCGGCAGCCGCTTCTCCCTGGTAACAGAGGGCCTTGGCGTCATGGCCAGATCCTCAGCTGTCGTAAATCCGATGGACGTCGCTAGCAAAGCAGAAGATTCCCAGAGTGATCTTTCGACCGCATTCGTTTGTTTCAAATCGCGTGCTTTTGCGCGTGGTGTTGCTTGTTCAGCAACGAATGGCTGCTCCGCGGGATTTTTAGACTTTTCATGGATACTCGAGGGCACTGACTGGCGATCACCAGCAGCGGCCGGGGTCAAGTGATGGCCTGTGTAGGCTCTTTGATTATAAGACTGATCGTAGCCGGTGGAAGGCGGGCGATTGATGACAATGTTCGGATGAATACTGGTATCGAAACGGCCAGTAGGTACATGAGGATTTGAATCTAACGGCCCCCGGTCTGGACTAGGTCTGGTAATCTCTGGTCCATGATGGTCTCCAAGATCAGGAGACGAAACATTCCACTGTCGAAATGCGGCGAGGAGTCCTCTCGATCTTGGAGGGGATACAGACCGAGCGGTCTTGAACACTGGACCCCTGGGTCCTTCGTTGACCCTGACCTTCGGGGTTGCACTACTGGGCTGCGAAGCGCTCCTGTTGGTGATGATTCCCAACGGAGAAGTGCTGAAGGACCAGGCTGGGGTTGGCTGCTCCAACAACGGAGGAGACGTTCGGAGGCGCGGAAGCGTTGGTCTAGGCTTGGGCGGTCGTCGAGGGTTGAGGTACTTATCATCCGGGTTCATGGTTTGAGGAACCACGCTTTGCGCACTTGGGTTTCTTGAGTGGGTATGTGCGGGGACGGCATCTGGAAGAATAACAGGCACATTGAGAACATTGACCGGCTGGCCTGGAAGAAATGGACAATGGGTGGTAATAGGTTCTGCCTCGTTGTAGTACTCCACATCATTGTCCAGCAGATACTGTGGGTCTGTTAGTATTCAATTCCCTAAATCAAGGAGATTCGGGAGTACAAACATAATACCAGTAGGTACCTCCCATCTTCAGTCCACCAGAACGTGCTGGAATCATGTGGGCCGGCGAACCATCGCACACGATGTTGGCGAAGGTATGACACCCCTTCCACTGACCCGGACCAACACGTCTGTCTCGCTCCATGAGGTAGGGCTTGGAGAAATTGTCCCATGAGCCTAGCAGTTTGACTGACTTGACCTGCGGATTGGTACAGCTGCGCGTCGCCATTAGCAGGTGAGCGGGGATTCGCAATTCAGAGAACCACAACTTACAGAAGGAATGTCATTAAAGTTGTCGAAGTCATGATTGCGATAGGTGTATATATAAGGGTCTGACGAACGACACGATGAAGGAAAGCGCTTTGAATACTAGTCTGAACTTCGGATGATTTTGTGTCGGCTGGACTGCACACGATGTGCTAAGCAAATTTGTCGATTGAAAGGAATGCAATGGATGTTATTCCAAGACCAGCTTGGAAAAGAGCAATTGAAAGTAGAGAAAAGGCAAATGAAGGGCGTTTGGCAGAAAGCCTAGTCAAGCTGTGTCCTGGTGTGGAATGTCAGGGGGACTAAATCCCACCGGCGATTTCCTGCCACGCAGTTCCCTAGTGTGATATAAGAGTTGGAAGCTGACAGCTGCGGCTTGAAAGTGGCTACTGTGCCATAACAACACAGAGAAAGCTGAACACCAACAATGTGCGGGAGAAAGGGTAGATCAGTGATTCATTAGCCGCGGGGCTGCGGGAGTTAAATTTGGACGTTCCTGACCGAGAGATCGGAAGGGTATATCAGGCCAATGACGCTGAAGGAATGGTAGGTCGGAAGCGCCGACAGGCGGACTACCTGGACGAGGAAGAACAATGACAGGCGGAAAAGGGTATTTTCAGCGCCTGCTGCAGGAGCCGGACGTTTCGAGCAGTGCTTCTCTCACACAAATTTCACACGTTGGTCCAGGCAGGTCGATGAGGGTGAGAAGGCCGAAGTGAAGCTCAAGAATAAACCACCATCAACTCGATCGCGCGTATGTGTACACTCCGAGCGTGACCTGAACGTCAACGCTTCTTATTATAGGTGGTGTACTGTACTCCGTACTCCGGAACAGAGAGAAAATCAAGTTTCGGCAGCTCAGTAGCCCTGTAGCAAGACGGTGCGCTTGTCAGGGATCCACTGGGGGATGATATAACCACGTCACGATAGTGATCGTCCCTACAAGAGAAGTCTGCCGCGAGAGAGGAAAGTTCATGATGGCAGCCGGCCGACAGAAAAAGGACGCGCGATGAGATCCGAACATGGTTCCTGGGCGATTGGTGGTCCACCCAGGAGAGTTTTTCTGGGATGAGGATGCTGATCCTTCCTGGCGAACCAGAGTGGGCTTCGAAGGGACTCGAGTCCTGAACGGGTGGACACAACTGGATCACGGGCGTTTAGCTAGGCTGGATGCATGTTAGCTGTGCCTGGTATCGGTACCTTAGCAGGCTTAGCTCAACAGCCTAGTTCCTAGTTTGCAAGGGTGGTGAGTGGAGACCGATGTAAGTCCGAGGAAGGGAAATTGATGGATCAGAAAACAAAAGAAAAGGGACAGTGTACTATGTACGGAGTAGGTGCTGTAGCCAGCCACTGCACGAAGATGATAGATAGCAGTTGGCTGAGAATAAAGTGATGATTGGAGACAAGCGGCTGGGTGCAATCCACGGTGGAAATTAATCTAACCAAACAAGGAGATCACTACCTTGGGATTGGTGGTGGCTGGACACAAGCCACTCTGAGGCTGACCCTTTCTTTCCAATTCCCGTAAGTTATCTTCATCTCAGCTTCTCACCTCAACTACCGATCTATTAAACAACAAATAAGCTTTGTCAATGTCACTCTCAAATTGTCCTCTTGTCTCCCCTTCTCACCGAGAGATCAATCGCGGGATGGGAGATTTTTAGCGAAGCGACCACTGATCAACCCCCCTCAGGAGGCATATCTGGTGGACCCGGAAAAACCTACGACTACGCGCCGATCGACTTCTCCACACCACGTGAGTGGCCCGCAGGTGGGAAAAGCTGACTACTAGCAGGCTAGCAGCAGAGAGGAAATGTGGTGGACTGGTTGGATATGTCGATTGTTGACTGCTGCGCGCTGCGCCCTCTCATTGTTTATGCATGACTCCTGCATATCTCCGACACTCGCGCCATCCCCGGTCGGCTGTCCAGGAACAAAGTGACCTCGCTGGCCTAGAGTTATCTACCCCACGCAGACTGACCTTCGGATTCCGTGTCAGCAGCTGAGAATGACCACAATCAATGGGTTCTCGTCTTTCCTTCCCCTCTGAGAGCTTTTAGAGCTAGGTGAATCTGGGCCGTGTGGCACTAGGACATGGCCGGTGAATCCAACCTCACGCCCGGACCAGCGCACTTGCAAACCATACTCCGTACACCAAGCCAGGGGTCAGCTCCAGTCAGCCAATCAAGAGATTAGTCGGACCATCCTAGTCGCTTAAGTGTGTTGTTGCTGCATGCCTGCAGCCAGTCAGTCTGTTTACTTCCCGGATGCTGGGCAACTAGACTTCGATCTCTAAGGGGGAAACTCCAGCAACAGATAGATTGAGGTCTCGACTGGCCTGAGATGGTGGTACCTGTCTTTCTCCTCAGCTGTAGCAGGTCGTTGCCAGTTTAAATCCTCTGCGGTCGCTTTGACTGCCAGCGAATCGAATTTGGACTTGAACTTACCCTCTCACCAATCAGTAATGGCTCTTCAAACAGTGGGAGGAGCATTTCAGTTCCAGTTTGGCGGGAGTAGCCGAGCAATCCGTGCAATGACATTGCCAATCATACACATCCTTGAAGTGTATTGCAAGCTAGCCTACAGATTACTATAGGTAGGAACTAAAGAAACTACACACAAGGGGAGCTACAGGGAAAAAAGGAAGCATAGACATTATCATGATTCAGTATTGTCATAGCATTTGACCAGTCACGGCATCCCGCCAGAATTCAAGGAACTCAGAGCCCTCCCGACACGGACGGCGGTAACTGGGCGCTTGCTGCGACGCGTTTCATCTATGGCGCCCATTCTCATGATAACATGATTAAGGACCGAAGCCAAGCCGAAAAGCCACCACTGATCAACATTTGCATCAGAGCAAAAGAAGTGAAACAAGCAAAGAGAGAAGAGGGGGAAGAAGGCAACGGGGTGTCGCAGCAGTGGGAGAGAAGGCAGTGGCAGCGGATATGAATAGCAACAACAATAACAACAATGATCACCCTGAAGCAATCGCAATCAACGATGCCCGTCCCGCTTATCATACTTCCGATTCACTGCGCCCAGCACGCACTTCAGAATACCATCTGCACTCAGGGTCTGCCCCTTGTCGCCTCGCCACGGCACGGTGTCGACAATATCGCGCAAGTTCTTCTGATGTGTCATCTTGCCCAGCTCATCGTCCAGGTCCTGCAGATACTGGCGCGCCACGGGGTCATCGCCGATTTGGAAAAACTGAATCCCAACCTGCCAGGGCACGGCCGAGATCTTGTCGAGTCGCTGGGCCACATTAACGATCACACTTTCCGCGTCATCCGTGAACGCTCCATCGGTGATCGCAATGATGTTTAAGGGTTTAAGCAGCTGCGTGGAGTCCTCGAACGCATCGCTTGCGGCGACCTTTTTCTCCAGGTCGCGCATGTAGGGGCCCAGGATGTCCATCAAGCGGCGGCCGAACGGCGTCGGACCCTGGGGATACACGCTGCCGAAGATCTCCCGGACGTTGTCCGCCAGCGTGATGTTCGTGTATGACCCCGGCCCCCTTCGACCAGTATCTCTGCGGTGATTGAGGAACCACACGTCGATTCCATCCCTGTCATACTGCGTGCAGATCGGAGCGATCGCGGCGATAGCATCTTCGGCCTCCTTCCAGCGCCGCCCGCGCATGGATGTGCTATCATCAACCACAAATACGGTGTCAAACTCGCGTAGGAATGAATACGGCGTGTCGCTTGATGAGGTGCTCGAGGCTGTTGATGGCATAGGCATCTTCGCTGTAGGTTCAGCGGAGTACGGTGGGGGCGACCATGGGTCCTGATGGCTTGTGGGAGTTGGCTTTCCTATGCTTCTCGATTGGGACGCTATGCTCCGATTGACTGAGCCTGTTCCTGAGCGTCTCTTCTCATGCGAGTGAGTTTGTCCCATGTTGGTGCTATTATTGTAAGCTTGTTCACTCGAGGTCTGGTGACGATGAGTTGAGTCTCGAAGGGTAAGCTTATCTCGAAGGTGTTGTAAAAGTGGCATCTGGGAGGGGTAAAGGTAAAGATGTTTATAGTCGGTCAGCTCGATGATTCAACTTCGAGTCGAGTAGGCGGGAATCTCCGGAGAAAAAGACGTAGCCTCCTTGAGGGCAGAAGTCGTTGTGTGTATGGAGTATGGAAGACGACGAAACAAAGGGAGGGCGCGACGTCAAAGTAAATCAGTAAATGTAGTCTGGCATGATTTCCTCCCTTCTCTTTTTATCGTTCACCCAATGTGCGAAAGACATGGAAGGCGCAGTCAGGGCAGACTGGTTCAACCCACACACTCGGGGTTCATTCCAGTCAGTAGACCTCAGGCTATATACTAGCACAAACACATTTTACTTTTGCAAAGTATATGTGATTTGACCCCAGGGAAATAGATCCACGTGCAGTGTTGAATGGTATGCAACCCCAACCAATTAGTTTCAAGAACCCAAGCCTAAGGCTTCCAGGCAGGAATGACTTCGCCCCCTTTCCATCCACCCGTGACTTCCAAGTTCCATCTCCTTACCGGAGATTCAACATGAATCCTGCCGCAGTTTGCACGGCGGCACTGCCTCGAACTGTAAAGTTTAAGCATCTTCAAACGACATGGCTGCATGGCTAATTCCTGTTGGCCACGAGCTCCACAAGGCGCGATAGTGATATGCTAAAGCTACAGGGCTGCATTGGCATGTACTCTACATTCTTGAGGGGTAATAGGGAGGCTGTAAGGCTGATGGATGCTGTTTGCTGTTTGCTGTTTGCTGTTTGTTTCGAACCCACCATACACTATCGGAAGACCGGATAGTGGTGGTAGGCAGTGCACAGCCTACTAGCCGAGGCGGGGGGGGGGCCGCAAAACCGCAGTCAATAGTCTAATAACTTACCCTTGTCGCATATTGGCACTGCCTCATCCCGAACCTTGGTCATGCGACGGATAACGAAGACCGAGATGGGTCCTATATTATGAAGTTATGATTGCATGATGTGTGTTTTCGCTAGCGAATCCATGTCAGTAAGCCAGTCACGTGTCACCAGATTGACGTACATCTGTACAAATCGCCAAACATTCATCACTTTCGACACATAACTTATTTATGTTCATATATATACACTAGGTATCAAATCGTACCAGCCTTCAAAGCTGTTGGTAAGAAGATGCACAGACGCTTTATCCCTCAAGGGGTCGAGACTAGAAACGTCTCAGCCAAGTGCTGTCACCCTTTCATGAATATGTTCATCGTCCGTCTGCCCGAGGACATCGAACGTCTCGCCGGCTTCCAAAATATCAATCAGGGCCAAAGCCTGATCGATGCCCAGGCGGTTACCGATAAGCGCTAAACAATCAACCACCCATTTGCGTAGGGAATGGCCCTTCGGCTCAGTAGCGCCAGCAAGAAACAAGGGCCACAGAAGAATCATGCCACGGATGAAGCCATATTCCAATGTCACCGTCCTGAAGGTAGTAGCCTCGCCGGTAACGAGGTCAGCGCTAAAGTGATAGGGCACACTGGCGCATATGTCGAGAGCCAACTGCCTAGCCTTGTCGCGAACCTGCGCGAGATGACTAGCTAGATCGGGAGTGAGAGTCGTATTGGTGTTCAGTCGATATGTGTAAGTGAGGATGTACTCGCTGATCATGATTCGAGCACAGCGATATTGGTTCCACGCGTGACAGAGCCATAGGTCTTGGTACACGTGGAATCGGTTGTTGTACGAGTTGAGACCCCAATCGGACTGGGTAGGCCAAGGGCTTTCGATGGTGGTGTACAGAAATCGAGGCGGCAAAGCCGCAAGCCATGCCATCAATTCGCCTTCTATGCTATAAACAGTGGACAAGATCTCCTGACAGTCGGTGATGACTTTATCACGTATATCTGCCCGGAGATTGGCCAGCCGGCCACTTATACTGATCAATCGGTCGCTATAAGCTTCGGTCTGAGGCCGCAGAAATTGGGCCACCTTTGCGCAGTCAAGAACTGACTGCGGCACTCGAGCCTCTCGTTGCAAGCAGCTGATGATCTTGACAGGCTCGTTAGTCAGGCCTGCAGAAGAAGGAGACAATACTGGAATATATCAACATACAATCTGATATCGTAATTGTAAGAATAGCTTCAACCCCTCGGCCTTCTGAAGTTGTTCCACACCTCTCAACTCCAAGAGTGCAGCAGCCCCGGAGATATGATTTGTCCAGTTGTCGAGATTCTGCGGGGCTCTACTAGAGACAACCTGTTCTCCAATCAGACGCTGTGAGTGCGAAAGGGGAAGAACCTTGGTGTCGAACGCACCTCAAATATCGCTAGAAGTAGAACAGCGGCCAGGGTAGAATTGTCCCTGGCCTCTTTCTCATCGGTGACAGCAGAAGTGAGCAGTTGCAACGCCTGTCCGTACTCTTTCTCTGAGGTAATTCTTAGGGGATTGGATCGCCTGGCGCGAGCAAGCATGGCCATTCCTGCAGAAGTCATACTAGCCATCATAGCTTGCTGACTGGGTGAAGTCCGTAGATCGAGGATGAATTCCGTGGCAGAGTCTGGTCTCATCCAGACGCTTCCGATCCAATTATTCTGGCTCAGAAAGAAGCAGATAGCTTCGTTCTTGGTAGGTTGATACGAAGGCTGAAGATCGAGGGGGCGCCGGGTGGCAAGCTCTCGTTGAAGGTCCGTGTCCTCATTAAAGTCCACTATGTTACTGTCACCCGATGCGGCGCTGGGGCTACTACTCGTAGTGCTACTGCTACCCCGAGAGGGAGTCTCAAGCCGGCCACTAGAGCCGGATTTGCTGGCTGGTTTAGTCTTGCGCGCTGTAATCCCAGTCCGTGCCTTCCGAACAACCTGTTGACTTTCGTCGCGGAACATCAAGGACAGTTCGTCTCGGTATCCGGGGCAGACCCGGTTGCCCTTGGCGCATTGCGAGCAGGTTGGCCGCGCCTGATCGCAGCGGATCTTGCGAGTGCGGCACTCCCCGCAGCCCTTGCTTGGCTTGCCACAGAAGACCATATTAAAACAGGCGCAGTGTGCAGAAGTGGCTGGTCGATCGTGCTATGCTGGGGGCAACAAGCAATAGATAGATGGACCCAGTCGGATAAGGAGAGCCAAGCCCAGAATGGAGGCAACTCGAACGGGTAAGCAATGCGAAGAACGGCTTGAGCACCGCGACTTTCCAACGTTCGAGCTCAGAACAAAGCTTCGAAAGGGTAGCTATGATAGGATTAGTTCATTCAAGAGCAGGTGCAGGTCGTACCGGAGATCTTTCTCGTCCAACCTGGCTGATCTTGGTTGAGAGGGACACGGCCGTGGGAGATAAAGAGGTGTATGTAGTGGGTTGGCGGGTGCCTCAGGCGCGGCATGGACAGCTTCCTTCCCGACTCCACGTGGGATCCGGCTAACCTGATCGAGTATGCCTTGCGAGATGCCCTGCAATGCCAGGTGCCCGGAGATGCCCTGGTGAGTGCGCATCGCAGTGGCACATGCTTGTGAAAGTCTTCCAAGACAGTCAGTTGTTGCCAAGTATACACCTCTACTGCCTTCTGTTGTCTTCTAGACGCTTGCACAGTAGTATCTCGCACGCACTCGCTATTCTCTTGAGTATGTCGATACTCATACTGAGGCTATGCTAATCTCGTCCAGCATATGTTGCTCTCATGATCTTCGGAGGTCAACATCGGTCATATGCTACTCATTCAATCCTTGGCTCTACCCTCTATGAAAGAAGCCCACTTAGGTATTCATTCTGCAAAACAACGACTGCTTAGCAGATGATGTGATGGCTATGGCACGGAGTTACTCAGCGTCAGCCCTATAGTTCTATGAATTGACCAGGTGTTCTTCTATCTACCAAGAACGGAATGATGGCTGTTACCACGCAAGCAAGCAGTAAAACACAGGCAGAGAATGACTTCCTAGCTATGCACCAAGGCTAGTACCCCAGCCCGTTGTCAATACCTTGGGAAAGATAAGGTTCATTGTGTATTCGTGTTCGCCGGGAGCAATTCTATCCATGACCGGCAACCGCTTTCATCTATGTCGACTTTCCCGCAACACCGTGCTGACACCTCCCGTCTATCTGCGACTGAAGAAATTCACGAGGGATCCCTCCTCTCATACAATGAAAGGGTATTTTAAAACACTAGGGGCATGATTGCGATATCCCCGGTTCGACTTCAGGGCATGGTTGTTGTTGCCGTGAAGGTGAGGAGGATGAATGTGAGTATGAGACGGCTGAGGCACGAACATGTGGCTGCTTCTCATGCGGCTGGGTATAAATTCGGGTGCTTCAGGGCGAAGAGTAGAGTAGTAGAATGTCGTACGCCTCTTGTTTTCACCGTCCGCTTTTCCGTGATCCTGAATCTGGCCCGGGACACCTCCATACGGGCCTGGGAGCTGTAGTGAATCTGGGCGTTGTGGTAGGCTTAGGTATGATGGTCTCGACATTCCAGGGTGAGGAGTAGCTTCAATTGAATAGCACTGCGGGTGGTTCTGCACGGGCAATCGGAGTGTATTTGGGGCCAAAGCGAACTGTAGTGGCAGGATATGACGTGGAGCAAGGTAGGACGGCGCATGGACCTAATCATTGACTTGCGTTATCACTGGTAAACCTCAAATAGGAGGGTTTCGGCTCCGCTTACTGTATGCTGTTGATATGATAAGCAGTCTTGCTCTAATAGCTGTTTGTTCATACGATCTTTTTCGATCTGTGGATAGGATCTTTGTGGAGGTGACGGTCGCGTGACATTTGGATGTATTTGACGCGGAGTTGGCGAAATGACCTGCCCGTTTGGAAAATATCCAGACGATACAACTGGCGGGAAGTAACTACCAGGCGCCGCAGCTGGCTGATAGTGCTCAGGCGATACAGCTGGAGGAAGAGTCCTAGGTGATATAGTTGGCGGGAAGGATACACTACCTGGCGTCAAGGCATCCGGAAAGAGTGCAGGCAAAGCAGCCGGTGAAAGACCATGGGTTGATGGAACCAATCTGGATCCCTCCCAATGATTGGATTGGCGAGAAGACGAAACCACTGCAGGGTCAAGCTTTGAGGGTTTACCATCAGTGCGTTTGCTCAGATCTTCTTCATCTTTCTTCCCTGAGAATCAGAAGTAGCTTGGTTAACTGAAATGCCTTACCTGGCTGGGCGAAAGCTCTAGGTGCGTATAATTCATGACTCATGACTCAAAGTGATAAGAGCAATGGGAGTAGACGAATGGAAGAAATACTTGCAACACATGAAGAAGGCTACTGAGAACAGATAAAAACAGATAGAGTAAAAGATTTCCAAGAGGCTAAAGTCTCCGGAGCGACTACCTGAGCTTCAGAAGTGTTCTGGGGAAGGAACTTTCATCGCCGTGGGCTGCCAGTGGCAATGGCCTTGGGTTTGCAAACACACAGCACCTCTTTGAGAGTATGTCTCTCGAGCTGTGTCTGTCTACACTCTGGAGCTTCATGAAAGCCTCGGTTAAGGCTGACTGATTGGTCACTCAAAGGTATTTGTTCCACTTCATCATCAGTCTACAATGTAGAAATGTAGAGCAGCAAGTGTGATACTCAGACAAGTTTCATTAAGACTATGTACATTTTTTGTTTTCAATTTTTTTTTGTTTTTTTCTCCTCGAAAGACAAGAGGCAGTCAGCTAGAAGGCTAGCTGAGGAAGCCCTCGAGCTGCTCGTACAACAGCTCGAGGGCTTCCTCAGCAGCCTCCTTCTCTGACTGCCTCTTGTCTTTCGAGGCAATTGCCTCGTCCAGGGCTTTCTGGGCAGCCCCGACGCCCTCGAGGTGCTGTATCAGGGCTACAGCCGCCTAGGAACAACTCGGTCAGCTACGTGATCCTTCAGTGATGTCTTCACTCGGTTAAGGCTTACCCGCAAAAAGGTGTCGCGCTGGGGGGGGGTCATAGCCCCCCTCCCGTACTTCTTGATGAAGTGATCAAGCACTCCATCGTGCACACCGCCACCTTGATTAACAAGCCTGTTCTCTGTTTGAACTCCAACATGGGTGACGGGGACAGGGATCCTCGAAGGAGAAGCTGCGCCCAGGATGGACTTGCTTGAAGGATTCGACGCTTGGCTGGCAAGGTAAGGACTTCCACTGGAAGCTGTGACAACGTGTCTGCGTGATCGGGACCCAGCGACTGTGGGCGTGTGGATCCTGGGATTTGTAGGCAAGCTTCGTTCCACGTTCACCAGATTAGGAGTGCTGGGGCCAGGGAGAGGTTTATAGCCAGCAGGAAGCCGCTCGAGAGGTATCTGTATCGGATTCGAGATTTGGCTGGTGTGAGTCTTGCGTGAATGAGTTATGCTCCATCCAAGGCCCGATGGCTTCATGGCAGCGCCCAGGTTCTTGCTACTCACGGCCTTCCGAATCGGTTTCGCAGTTATGGGAGTCTTTCGAGTGCTGCCACCATTGTCGGGATTTATGAGCTCCTTATCAGCACCAGCGCGAGGCTTGAACATGTTTCGAATACTGAAAGTAGTCTTTCTCTCACTGCGTGGGGCAGAATTCTGTACCCTTACGTCAATATAGGTACTCTGGTTCTCAATAGTCTTAGACAAGATTTTGTTGAATGTCGCAGCTTGATCGGTTCCGTTTGAAGGTTTCGATTTGAGAAGACCAGTGCCCTGGATTGGAAACTCATACATAGCCTCCACTGATGACGGTCTGACGGGGTGTGAATGAAGAGCTGCGTGAATTCTTTGAACTCTGAAAGATTCAACTGTAGGACCAATGTGAGAATCCTCAATGTGCTGAGTTTTTTGATGGCTTTCATTACTGGGCGGAGTCTGATCTCGTTCCTTCTTCAGGTATGAAGATGCGACGGGAAGCAGAGTGTCAATTTCCTGCAATCCGATAGGAGAAGCTTTTGTCACCGAAGCCTGTGACCGGGTCTGCTCTGACAGCACGCTCTTCGGGGCAGGAGCCGCTGATATGCTTTCATGAACCTCAGTCTCTTCACCCAACCCTTGAGTTTCCTCGCATAACTCGAAGCCTTCTTGATCATTCGAATTGACGGGGTGGCAACAATTGCCCGCAGTATCACCAATGCCATCTTGTCCTCTTTCGAATGAAGATGACTTATCAATCGATTTGTACTCTCCAGAGTCAGATCCTTGGCTTGAGATGTATCCAACAGACTGTAATCCTGTACCTCTCAACATCTCATCTGCGGACGAAGAGATTCTCAGTCTAGGGCCATGAATACGCTGGGCAGTTCTCTCGGCCACAGGGGTACGATACTCGCCGGTATAGACGGTACGTCGTTGCTTCGGCGTCTCCTCGTCGAAATTCCAATCATCATCAGACAAGTAGGTGGAGATAGCATGTCCTCTCTCGGTAGCAGGTACGAAATTGGACGTAGTAGCACCTAACAGCCCCTCTGATGACTGGGTACTTAGAGCGGAAGGAGCATTAATAAATGGAGCTTTTCCGGTACATGGCTCTGTAAGTGTGGCTTCATAGGCACGAGCAGGAGACGATGCACTGCGTTTTTGAACAGGCACAGGTATCGCACTGCGATGTGTGCTGGGAGTCTGCATCTCTTTTCCCAGCGAAGATGGCCCTGCCGGTGTTCTGAGGTGGTAGCTAGCCATCGGGATCCGAGAGCGCTTGCTACTCTCGATGGAATACGAGGTAGGGCGAGAGGCTGAGGCCTCACGTCTCTGAGAGAGCAACAAGTTTTCTTCATCGTCTATGATGGTTAGTCTGATTGCCATGTGAACGGGATACAGTCCACTTACCATGATTGACGTTCCCGCATGAACGTTCTGATTTACTCTCCATGGAGAAGCTTTTCATGGATGGTGCAATTTCATATGCCTCTATCCCAAAGAAAGAGAAGTTAGCACGAAACAGACGTGGTGTGGAACAAGCGTGAAGGGTCATCGTGTTGCGTCTCAGTCATAGAGCCCTCTCAGTCATAAATGCAACACTTGGATCCAAGGCAGCAGATGAAGCTAGCGGGAGAAAGAGCTTACCTTTCATGCCTTCACTAAGGGTAGTGCCAAATGGCCCGGTGTAACGTCTTTCAGGAGTTCGAGGATCCTGGAAGGGATCCTCAATTGAAAGCTTGTCGGCAGCCATCCTGTGAAGGTTTGTCTTACGGTGGTGCAGAGGTTTTTCTCTTGCAGAAAAGCCAGGAGGTGGAATGATTTTCAGTGGGGATACAATGGGAGATTTTTCTTGTGATAGCGGAGAAGGTGTAGGGATCTGTTTGTCTTTTGACAACGAAGTAGCAGTGGTGAACGTTTTAAGTTCAAGAGGACAAGGAGGAGTAAGATGGTGGGAAGGTGAAGTAGAAGAAGGTGTCTGAGAGTTGAGATGTCTGGCGTGTTTTTCACTTTCGTGTTGCTGCGTGGGGACTGGGGTTGTGTTCTCAGGTGCATAAACAAGCCAGTCCCAGAAAGCTAACAGAGACGAGCGAACGCTGCCCCCTCTGCTTGAATCCACTGCCTGGCGGGTCCTCTGCACTTGGCCCCCAGGTGACAAAGCAGTCACGTTTAGGTCACCGCTGATTGAGTGCCTAGAGTGTCCTTGTCCAGGTTCAGGAGCTTGATTTGACTGGATATCGTCAGTGACAATTTCTCAAAAAGCCCTACACATAGCGTCTACATACGTTTGAGACCGGAAGCAAAACCGAACGATGCGGCAATGGCAGTTCTCCATGCTTCGAGATTCTACCGGTGCGTCTCGGATGATGCCCCTAAATCATCCTGTTAGTTGCTTGTGTCTCATCACATCTTCCAGTGATTGACCTTGAGTTTCTTGATCAATTGGCCTCTTCTTCGCAACTTGCTGACATAAGGACCTAGGCTTTGACGCAGGCTCTTCTTCGCAGGAGATCTGGGAGGAGTGTTGCACACGTTCTTCCCAACCTTAGTCCGCACGTCTGAGACTACCCTCAGTATGCCTGGCCTTGGGTCAGACTGCGACGCGTCCTTCCAATGCGAAGAACTGGGGCGAGTGTGACTGTCTGCTTCAGGAGTGTGATGCACTGTCCAATTAGGAGATTGTGGAGGAGTCACTGGGCGTATAATGTCACGCTCCACGGTGAAATCTTCTGAAAATCCAGCGAAGAACGGAACCCCGCTGTCCTCGAAAACAGAATCAGGCGGACTCGGGCAACACTGAGCTCTGGTTGTCCCTTGATCCTCTCCTGAGACACTGGGAAGCACAAGTGCTGACACAGTCTCGTTGTCTTCAAGTCCAGCCATTGGATGCATTGTCATGAGCCTGCGGTATATAGCCGGCGTTGGTGAGCATGTGTCATATGGGTAGGAGCCCCGTAGGGACCTTGGGTTAAACATGATGCACGTATGCCAATCCCAGATCCAGATCACAGGAAAGACACCAGTTCTGCGTCCTGGTCTTGTCAAGGCGCGAAGCCTCTTCCTGGATTCCGATTTGGCTGTTACTCTATTCCGGACTCAGGGTTAGCATCTACCTGATATCATGCTGAATGACTTCGAGAATGAGATGCAAAACATGACCGACAAATTTCACTCTTCAACAACACCAAAGAGTTACGAACCCTCACGCTAGACGCGTGCAGTCAACTTTTGAGGTATACAGTGCACTCACCAGAGAGAGGCTTCAAGTCAAAGGAGAGTTTTGTTGGATATGTGTTCAATGAAGGGTAGCAGGGTACGATGGTAGGTCTTTTGAGGAACTTCGGATGAGGGGGATAAAGAAGAATGAGGGTGAAGAGAAGAAGAGATTATGATTGCTGAGGTGACCAAGTGAGAGACAGAACAAGCTCTCTTCACTGTGTTGTATCCAGAAACAGCCCGTTACCCAATTGGGAAACGCGCGAGGTTTAAGCCTGGGCGCCTGAGGCACGAAGCAGGCACTGCAGAGCATTTCAGAATATGCCAGGAAATCTATCAGTGCTGTAGTAAGTGCATTATGCTTTGTCTATGCTACAGTGCTGTTCAGCAGTGTAGCTCTTTGGCCCAGGGCTGTTATAAGGCATAACGGGAGCTATGCTTGGCAGGCACTGCAGCTATCCATGATGGCTTCTCTATATCCTAATATAATGCAAGATACAAATAGTACTAGAATTGTTATGGGCGGTGTTGACCACAGCAGGCTTTTCAACGGATATGCCTGTCAATGTGGACGTTTGCTCTAATTCCTTTCTGCATACTATGAATCTTATATAAATCAGGAACGTTAACAAGAGCACTCATTTACTATGTACGCTACCTTGAGCTATTGAGCTATTGCAGTTTCAAGTAGTCATCTTAGGAGCAGGATCTATAGACCGCGTTTCCGTTTGCCTGCCTGAAGGGGCAAACCGACGCCAGCCGGTTTCTGCGCACCAGTCGCATCGCTCGACCACTCACTAATTTCCCACTCGACGGTCGTCGAGTGGTCGTCGCTAACACCCACCCCGCGTCTTGTCTTCATCAAACGGCCCAACTGGCTACCTTCGATCATTTCCTCGAACCACGGTATCCCGCCGAAGGTGCCTTGCCTGTAGCTCCGTGAGAGACCAGACCCATCGCCCCCCGCGGCAGCAGGAATGACTACACGAGTCGAAGTGGGACGGTCACTGGACGCTGTCGCCGGAACAGCAACCACCTTGCCTTCAGATTCGAGTTCCTGCTCCGCTTCCGCCTCCTCCTCTTCCTCGTCCGCGTCTTCCACTTCAACCTCGCCAACTCTTAGCACTTCCTCAACTTCGTCGTCCTCCTCTTCATCTTCGTCATCAGAAGAAGGGACAGCTGGAGGAAGTAGATCCAGATCCTCCAGCTTACGTTGATGTTCGCCGAAAAGACTACCCAGAGACACACTCATGAAATCCGCCTCATCCCGGGGCACCTCGCTCCAGTATGTGAGTGGGGTGCCGCAGAATCCGCAAAAGACCCGCTGAGTGTGAGGCGCATGGTGCGGGGAGAAGATGCGTCGGATACTTGCATGTGTTTCATCGGGAAAAAAGGATTGCGTGTGGGATTGGTACCAAGATAATGGGACGCGAAGCCATGCCGTCAACGGTGAGCCGTGGAATCTTCCTGGAACGATGTCAGTACTTATTCCACCAAGAAGCTATCACTTCATCCGAGGCGGCACAACCTCCAAAATAGCGCACCGCCGCAGACCGGGAAAACTTACGGTTGTCTTGACTGGAGTCAAAGTAGACGTGAGCATGGTCGGTAACATCATCAGGCAGACGAATCAAATATTGATTGCGGCCGCATTGGCAAGATCCGCGTAGTGGTACGTGCTCAGCCATGGCTGCTGAAGCCGTGTGCGCCGTTGATAAGGTCTACCTGATTGTAGAAGCCTTCACGTTGAGACCGTAGTGCGAGTATGAGGTCATATATTGGGGAATTTGGGGTCCAACCAAACCAGATCAATTGCTGCAAGGTTCGCAGTCAACGTGATGGGATTGATGACAGGAAAGACAGGGGAGGCCGATGCGCTGGGCGGCGGGGGGAGCCTTGAAGAAATAGGCATGTATCGAGGGGCTCTGAGAGGGTGGCATGGTGAAGTCCACAGTTGATCTAGAAGCAACCTGAACCATCGATGACGTTTATCGGCTGCCCGTGGAGACATCCGGAACAATTGACCAGTTGGCGCTCTGCCGCCGGCCGAAGAAAAGGTCAGGGCTGGTTCCAGGGCCCCAGGCACATCACCGGCTTGTGCCTGAGGAACAAACAACCAACCCAAATGTTGGGTCTTTCTTCTCTCTTTCCTCCCCTGGTCCAGGTCCAGAATTCATGGTCAATTTACCCCTGGGAGATCACCAGAGACATCTCTCTTCACGAGAGAATAAATCCTCAATCGTATCCATTTCGCATACGAAAGGCCGAGCTCGCTTCAATCCCATCATCATCTAGTCGACTCGAGTCTAACTTATACTTCCCCACGGGTAACTACTGTCTTCCGTCGCAGCCAAGCCACAACCGCCCCCAGTCCGGCAGTCCGTCACATGAAAATCCGACTCACCCGCACACGCACATGATAATCTCCTTTTCCCACGAACCTCAGGACCTCAAACAATAAAACGCGTATAACTCTCTTACACCAATCTCAGGCATCTGACGTCTGAAACCCATACTGCAGCTGAAACAAGAACGGAAGGGGTGAAAGAAAGAAAGAAACTAAACTCCCTTGAACCCTAAGAAACGCATAACCTCCCCCCTCCCCCCCCAAACTATGCCATCTGCACGCCCACCTGCCTCCCTGGCATCCAGCTCCTCCGAAACCTCCTACTCCCCCTTACCGAACAGCAGCGCAACGGTACCCCGCAATGAACCCGAGGACCGGTCCCCTTCAACCACCCCAGCCGGCACCTCTGCATCCAAACCCACTGCTGCTGGCGCGCAGGAGAAGGAGAAACCGCGACTGACGGAACAAGAGAAAAAGAACAATCATATCGCCTCGGAGCAGAAGCGCCGCGCCGCGATTCGGGAAGGGTTCGATCGTTTGACGGAGCTTGTCCCTGGCCTGGAGGGGCAGGGGCGCAGTGAGAGTATTGTGCTTCGGAAGACGGTGGATTTCATCCAGCTACAGCTCCAGGAGCGCCAGGAGTTGGTGGCAGAGATTGAACGCCGGGGCGGGCATATTGACGATGCCTTTCGGGTCTGACCTACGTGGTTGACTGACTGTATATGAGCGATGCTACTATTCATGACGATGACGATTACGATGATGATACGGGGGAGGGGGGAAAGGGCATGATTGGGAGATATGGAGCAGCTTCCGCTCTATTGGGTACCAGAGTCTGAACATCAAGGAGAGGAAGGTGCAGTCTGGAACTGCTCGCTTGCTCAATGTTCCAGTGTGATGCTATAGGAGAACTTGGTTGCACAGCCTTTCTGTTCGGCGCGTCACGGTTTGGTCGCACCTACTGGGATCTCTTATCGCATACGACGCTTCTTCATGATGTGGAATTGTATGGTGTTCGGCGTCAATATTGATTCCTAGCTTGGCTCTGGGTAGGGCATTGACGCTGTGGATCACAGATGAGAATCGGTGGGTTTCATGTGGCATTTTCCGAAGGTATTTCTCTTGAGGATACAGCTGTTCTGTTGCAGGTCAACAGATTGCCCAGACCATGATATGTCCTTAGTGCAATTCAGAGCAAATATGATCATCTTACAAGAGCAACACCGGCGAAAGCGAGAACTCTCCATTCACTCAATGATGCACCCATTTAGGAATACTCCGCAGCATGGGAGATCGCATTCAGATGTAACACGACTTGAGTGGGACAGCAGCCCAGACAGCCAACCCCTTGCCTGTTGCCTGCATTGACTGATTGATAGTCCCCCCCCTCCCATCCATCTGCCGTGATTGACCGCCTAGATGTGGACGATTACCAAAAGCTTCAAAATTCGTCCGAATGTGGGAAACGCTCATAGCCAACTTGGGAATTCATCTGCACACCGTCTAATACTTCTTTCAACCTTTCTCTCCTTCTCTACCGCTATACCTTTTTATCTCGGTTAGAAACACCATACCACTCGCCGCCTAACCCCTCCCCCAAAAGAGGAGAGTCAAAAATGTCCGACAGCAAACAATCCCTCCTCAACAACCCCACGGACCCCTCCGACCCCCCACCGGCCTACGACGACACCACCCCGATCACCACAACCGCCACGAAACGCATGTCGTCGCTCCCGCGGCCCCCGCCCCTCTCGCTCCCCATCCTCAACCACCTCCGCAGCCAGCGCGTCATCCTTGCCTCGGCCTCCCCACGGCGCCGCCAGATCCTCTCGCAGCTGGGCCTGCCCAACCTGGAGATCATCCCGTCCAACACGCCGGAAGACTTCCCGAAGACGATGGAACCGTTCGAGTACGTTCTGGCGACGGCGACGGAGAAGGCGCAGACGGTCTACCGGCAGGAGATCATGAACGAGGCCAAGGGGGAGCCGGGCCTGATCCTCGCGGCGGACACCATCATCGCCGACACGGCGTCGGGCCGCATCCTGGAGAAGCCCCGCTCCGAGGCCGACCACTTCGCCATGCTGAAGGCGCTGCGGGACGTCGGCGAGCACAAGGTGTACACGGCGATGTGCGCGATGGCGCCGCTCGTGAGCGCCCGCGACCCCGGGTATGCGCTGGAGACGGCGCTGGAGGAGACGGACGTCAAGTTCGATCAGGGGGTGACGGATGAGCTGCTGTGGGCGTATGTGCGCACCAGGGAGGGCGCGGATAAGGCCGGTGGGTATGGGTTGCAAGGGTTGGGGTCGATCTTAGTCGAGAGGATCGAGGGGAGCTGGGATAATGTGGTGGGGTTGCCGTTGCGGTCGGCGTTGCAGTTGATGGAGAGGGTGGTGGCCAAGGCGGATGATGATGATCGCTTGTCCGGTGGGGAGGAGGATTTGTTGGAAGATGAGGAGTAAGTTGGTGGAAAGGGCTATCGGTTGTTTGGACCAACCGATTTGTTGGCAATTGGAAGAGGAACACACATGTTCGAGATATCTACGTGACTTACTTGCCTTACTTTGACAGGGCCATACATACAGTTGAATCTTGCGCTGGGCGTTTAGATAACAATAGAGAGAGAGAGTTACAGGTCAAGAAAAAAAAAGAAATTAATGGAATAATCTCAAACCAGATCAATGACATACACAATACACTCATTTTATGCTCCAGGGTAGTAAAGATTTCAGTACTGGCATCTACCAGAGGAAAAAGAAGACAGCATATACATAGGCAAAACGCCTTCAACAAAACAAACATCAAACAAGAACACCACCCCGAATTTATGCCTTCCACACCCTGCGGATAGCCTCCGTCACACCAACATCGTTCGTCTCAAACTCGTACAGACCAACGGCTGTGCCGAGCGTGAAGGCACGCAGCAACCACTTCATGAATGCGGCAGTCTTGGGCACACGGCGGACAGGGAAGTAATCAGTGATAGAGGCGCTAAAGAGCGAGGGTTAGCTTCCTGGCTGGTTCGGGCAAAGACGACAATATAACAGGAACGTACTCGAAACCGATGTGAGAGTGAACGACAATAGCGGAGCAGATGACAGCGTCCATGACGGGGCTCACAGAGCCGGCGGCGAAGGGAGCAATGCAGAGAGGGACGAGGGAAGCGGAGACGAGTCTATACATAAATGATCAGCGCTATGTTCCATTTTTGTGATCCCGGGTACCCGAATCGACGCACCTTTCAAAGGTCCAGTGGTAGCTACCGTGGACGGGGTGGGAGTGAGGAATGGGAGCAGGGTCGTTCACTAGAAGTCGAGAAAGAGCCAACGTTAGAAAAGTCATGTCCTTCGAACTGTCCATGGTCGTCATCGATGCGCTGCGGAAAATCGAAGGTTTCTCTTCGATGGACCAGAAGCTCTTCAACGGCCAACAAGGCCATCTTCTCATCGCACACCGAATTCAGGCTTGAGGAAGGTTAATTGATAAAAATAACATACTGGTTCCCTGGATGGACTCTGTTTCATAGATATGTTAGCATCACCATATATTTCATGAGTTCCAATCGATCGCCCCCTCCCCATGTCTATCCCCCACAAAAGCTCATCCATACCCCCGCACAATCTCTGTGGACCGCCAACAATCACACTCAAAACGTTTTCTCGGATAAATCCCGGGCGACTCACGAGGCAGAGGAGGCAGAATCTGCTTGTTGGCAGAGGCATGGAAGGCCACGACCTGCGACACGCCGGCGGCATTCTTGGAGGCCCAAGGGGCGCGGAAGGCCGACAGGCAGGACTGCCGGAGGAGGGGCGACTGGCGCGCAATTGAAGCCATTGTGATAATCTAGGAGGGGAGAGTCGGGTTGCAACGAAGAAGGAGGGTGAGAATCGGTGATCGCGGTTCGACAGCGCTACAGCGAGACAAGAAGTTGAAGTTGAGACTCGAGGCTCAGGATGGAACCTCGGGAGTCCGATCGGGAAACGGTCATCACATTGTCGGATCCGTGATTGGTGCGTCGCTCTCCGCCCAGCCGAAAATGGCCGACACCCGGCAATACCATCTACAGCTGGAAGAATGTGCAATGATGCATGTAAGATGGGGTAAATCAGCTTCTCCTCCTTTGTAATCATGTGGGCTGCTCTGACGCCTGGTAACTACAGAATGCCCCTGCTAAGTCAGTGGAGGGGCGTTGGGGTACATACTGGAAAGGCTGTGGGAAAGAGAATGCATATATTTCTGCCTCAGGCGCAAAAGCATTATCGTTTCCCGAAGCAGCCGACGAGGAGAGATTATTTGAGCTCTTGGGACATAGGTTGATTGATCATATGCGAATCGATTGTACTCTTATCTGGCTAATCATGGAGCAAAAAAAAAACGGTTCAGCTCTGCGAACGTGTACGCTGATGTTTAACGCTATCTTTTGAGGTAGGAAACGAAAAATGGCAAAAAGACAAATGCGATGCACCCGATGGGGATTGAACCCATGACCTTCGCATTACAAGTGCGACGCTACTACCACTGAGCCACGAGTGCAAGGATATTTACTTTGTGCCTAGACCTTAGCATCCATAGATGCTGTACCTTTTACTCCCCGCATTAGGTCTATCCATCCAACAGGAAAAGCTCCAGCACGTAACTACATCGTTGTTTGGCCTTGTTTTACTGGTGATCCGATCTGAAAATGTCTATGAAATGGAAATATTGTACTCTAGTTTTATCTGCGACCAGCCGTCTACCGTTTTACTGTAGTAGACAATAGTACAAATCATCCAGAATAGAAACATACATGGTAAAAGAAATAAAGGTACTGGGTGCTTGAGGATATTATACGAGAAGATGAGAATAAACAACCAACCGGTTCAACGACCAGAGCGCGGAATCTACTCGCGGGCGATCATGTCGTCACGAGCAGGGCCGGTACCGATCCACTTGACCGGGACCCCACCAAGACCGCGCTCGATGTACTCGATATAGGCACGGGCGTTGGGAGGCAAATCCTCATACTTCTTGATGCCCATGGTCTTGGTCTTCCAGCCAGGAAGAGTGACGTACTCGACCTTGACCTTCTCCAAGACCTCGGGGTCGGCAGGCATGGTGTTCTCCGTGCGGGTACCGTCAGGAAGGATATAAGCAACACCGACCTTGATCTCGTCAAAGTCGTCCAGAACATCCAACTTGGTCAGGTTAAGAGCAGTGTAGTGGTTGATGGCCTGCGAGTAGCGGCAAAGGACCATGTCAAACCAACCACAGCGACGGCGGCGACCGGTGGTGACACCAAACTCCTTACCAACACCCTGCAGCTTGTCACCGAATTCATTCAACTGCTCGCTGGGGAAGGGGCCCGAGCCGACACGGGTGGTATAAGCCTTAACAACACCAATGATGGAGGTGATGCTGGTGGGGTTCAGGGACAGAGCCTGGACAGCACCACCCAAGCCGGTCGAAGAGGAGGTCACGAAGGGATAGGTTCCGTGATCCAGATCAAGCATCAGAGCATTGGCACCCTCAACCAAAGTGTTGGAGGCATCCTTGTATTTCTGCAGGAAGGCCAATTGGTCGACAATGTAGGGACCCAGGCGCTGGCGGTACTCCTGTCAACGGGCCGTCAGCATCATCGTCCGCACGAAGCTCCAACAATCACCAAAGCCTACCTTGAAACGTGCAAGCTCCTCCTCAACGTCGTAATCCAATTCGCCGAAGCGGGCAGTATATCCCGCATGCAGTGAACGCAACTTGCGCTCGAAAAGAGGCTCGTCCAAGATCTCGCCAACACGGACACCGCGACGCGCAGCCTTGTCACTATAGCAAGGACCGATACCCTTACCAGTGGTGCCGACCTTGCGACCACCGAGCTTGGCCTCTTCTAGGCCATCCACAACGGAGTGCAGATCGAAGCAGACGTGAGCGCGGTCTGAAATGAAGATACGCTTTCCAGCGGTGGTCAGACCCTTAGTCTCAATAGCCGTCAGCTCCTTGAAGAAGCTGGGAACGTGCACCACAGTTCCTGCACCAATGAGATTGACACAGGAGGGGGAGACCAGTCCGGAAGGTAGAATGTGGAAGTCATAAGTCGTAGAGCCATGAACGATAGTGTGGCCCGCGTCTAAGTGCGTCCAATGTTAGATCGCATTGCCATCGATCGCCGGTGAGCGCGTTTGCATGGGGACAAAAAAAAACAAGTGAGAGCCGTGACAAACAATGAGAATAAAAAAAACTTACTGTGGCCGCCAGCGGCACGGCAGCAAAGCGTAGCTTCCTGCGCGAGCATGTCCGTAATCTTTCCCTTTCCTGTTTTCAATCGAACTGATGTCAGCGTGCATTTATTGCTGGCAGGGTGGATACCGCAGGAGATGCAGACTGGCAGCGGTGTTTTCTCTCACCTTCATCACCCCACTGGCTACCAAGAACAATTGTGACACCCATTGCGAATGTGTTGTTTTTGTGATATCTGAAGATCTAAAAGCAATTGAATACTTCGATCGTTAGGACTCCTTGAAACTGCGACAAGGGACTGAGATGGAGGGAGGAACGTCTGGAGGCGGGGCACGATAGTGGGTATGCGGATGAGTCAACGGATGAATCCGGCGTCAGTTGGACTGGCAGAAAAAAGGGATTCTGAAGAGGGGTTGATTGTGGTAAGAAGTTAAAGAGCACCAGAGGATTTCTAGCGTATACCAGAGGTGACTGGAGCAGCGGCGAAGAGTTCGCGACCGTCAAAGACCAAAAAGCCGAAAAAAAGAAACGGAGGGGAAGGTCTGCGGAGGGGAAGATGATATATAGCCCGGCACTCTCACTAACCTGCTGGGCGGGTCTGCCGGTGACTCCTCGATCGGTGCGTGCCCATTACCGCGGGCACCTGGTACCATACCGTACCCCAGCAACCTGTGCCGCCCGCACTCTTTCCTAGCATCATGCCCCCGTTTGCCGGTAATTTCATGTTACCGTCTCGAGCCCCCGCGGCGGGAGACCCCGCCGTATGCGGTATTTGCTGCTCGGGAGCCCAGTGCTCTCATCCTTTCCTCTGGCTGGTCGGGGACTTCCGACCGGTATCGGGATAGAGTTAGGGCTTGGGGCTCGGGGCTGGCAAGTAGGGCCTCTGCAGATCACGAATCGTGAATGGGTGATTACCAGCAGGAGACGAAAATAATCCAAAACAATCTCAGAATAACATGAAACGGATCACCTAGAGCTAGAGTTAGAGTCGAAGGTTGCAATCCAAGTACGCTTCCCAGGATATATCCATGGCCTTGGTAGAATATGATACACGGGATATCATCAAGTAACTAACAATCACTATAACGCCAACGCCCTAGTCCAATGCATGCATGCGTGCGACGGTCGCTGAGAGTGATGCTGAAATGTGGCCCAATACCTCATAAGTCATACTCTGCCCGTTGATCTCTATAGCATCTTGCCCCCCGAAATGACCCAATCGCGCAAGTCTCCGAGCTTGGAGATGCAGTCGTAGTGCAATTCCCGCGCTACCTCCCAGTGTTTCCAGACCCTAAGATCCTGATCCAATGCGAGCTTGTACGCATTGTATCCTCCCTTTGCGCTGCCTGCCACCATGGTGTCACTGTTTACTCCGTCTAGTCCGTCCTCTGGGTCTAGCTTGACCTTGGCCGCATCCCCAATAGCACCGATCCAATTTGGAGCCATCCCCGTCTCGGTGGCCTCCTGGCGTGCATTAAAATGCTGTAACATGCGACGATTAAAGGCGTTCCATTCAGACGTGTATACCGCCATCTCTGCGGTGTAACGCTCCCACGCTGCGCGAGATAAGCCCATCTGTGCGGAGCCCGCACTGAGAGGGATCAGTTCAGGCATAGTCGGCCGTTTTGGCGGTCGAGGCAGGTCCAAGTCGCGAGGACGGGCGTTGCGCACCGTCGTCTTGGGGAAATTGGCACGGGATTCGAACGGCAAAGTAACATGGATGTCCTGAAGGTCTTCGATGCCACCGTTTGTGGTTTGTGTGAGAGGAACCGTCTTGCTCAAGTCCTCTAGGTTAAAGTTCTTGGCGTTCTCGTCCTTCTGCTCTTCATTTGAAACTGGCTTGGCCATTGGTATTGTTTTGTTGGTTTTCTTCGTCTCATCCGATCTTTCCGTGGTCGTGGGAGGTGGCGTGTCATCAAGATCCATTGCTTCTACGCCCGCGTCCCCCGCTTTGGCTGTTTCCGGGGTGGTATCCCCGTTCAGAGTTGTTGCTATCTCGTCAACTTCTGCCGTAACAGTAGCTGGCTTGGGAGTAGGCCGCGTCTTGGTCGCCGTCCTTTGCTTGCGGGGACTTCTCTGTCGCTGGGCAGAGGCCGTCTGTGTCTGCTGAGCCCCTCCATTCTTCGGCTCGAATGACATGTTCTTGAACATCTCCGTCCATTGATCAGCAGGGAACCCAAACTGAGCGAAGGAAGTCGGCTGCTCTGGTTCGGGGATAGGTCCCTCATGATCGGGCGCATCGGCAGAGTGTCCCTTCCTTTCGGTGTCATCTCGAGTCGCTGATCGTCCTCGTCCATCCAGATTTTGAGCAGCACCATCGAAGAAAGCAGCTCCATTCCAATTCTCGGCAAAGAATGTGTTTCGCAGCTGCTCATGACTACTACTCTTGAAGCTTCTGTTTGGCGGGACGCCATTCTGCTCGGATTCTTGTTGTCTATGCGCCAAAAGTCGTCAGTTCAGAGATCCAAGGGTCCCTCAAGTGTGACACATACGAGTTCAGTGGGCTGTGAAAGCCAAAGATATTAGGCGTATCGAAGGGGTTGTTTGCTGATGTGGTATCGTTCGCAGTCGACCCTGCTCACGTGTCTCGTTAGCACTCACGAATGCCATAGAAGACATCCCTCTGCTATTTAACAAATCACTCCAGCACAGTTCTAGGGAAGAGGCGAGACTCACCGGACCTGGTCTCCGGGGTCTGCTCTGTATGAAAAGCAGTGAACTTCTTGTGAGGGTGGAGCCGGCTTTTGGGGACCGCCTTAGGCTTCCGTGCCAGAAACTCTTCATCGTCGTCCTCGTCAAGATCACTAGAACTACTCGTGAACGAATAGTTTGTGTTCTTATCTGCCTTGAATTTCGGGCTAGCGCTACGATAACGTCCACCTTCGGGAGGAGACGGGCTGGGTGGGTTGGTCCGGGAGCGAGGTTTGGGACTTTCAGTAGAATCCCGCGTGCTCGCAGAGCGCCCAAGGTTGGCGCTGTCGAAGAATGTTCTCTCTCCTCCAGTGCTAGCATACCTACTTCTCATTCGTTCGAATTCAGGCGTATCTGTCCGGTTAGTGGCGGTCTTCTTCGCCGTCGGTGACGGCGCAGCTCCGAAGTACGTGTTCGAGGTCTGTGGGCGCTCGTTTCGACTTGTGTATGAGGAAGTGTGTGTGGCCATAGGCTCATCGCCGCCCGCGGCGTGCGGAGCGAACCCCTGCTTCTTCTTTTTGGTCTGGGCCCGTGAAGCCTCTGGGCTCTCCGACTTATTGGATGTCCTGAAGTACTCGAAAGCGGACTTGGGCCTTGCCGACTGCGCATTTGCCTTGGTGGGTCTAGGCGTGGCTCCGTTGTATCCCGCGCGTCCGGTACGGGGGTCAAATGATGACCATCCGCCCGGCATGCCGTTTCCCTTCATATCCTGAAAGCCTCGATATGCGTCCGCCCTTGTCTGTCCCTCATCATGCGCCTTCTCCCATGGCTGTTTCGGCGCCGCGCGTGCATAGCTGGCATAACGCTGGGCGCCGCTCGAGGGCGCCGCATGGAAGGACTGTGGACGTGTCGTAGAATGTGGCTTCGTAGGTGCAGGTTTTGAAGAATATGTGGAGGCTTGAGGAGTGGAAGTCGTCTTTCGAGGCGTAGTGCTCTTAGCGGGGCCATAAAATTTGCCGTACCCAGCGCGCAGTCGGTCCGTGTCATACCGCAATCGTTGTTGGGGGTCGATGAGGATCTCATGAGCCGCTTGGATGGCCTGGAACTTGGCGATAAAATCCACCTCGCGGCCAGGATTCCTATCGGGATGGTACTTCAAAGCTGTCAAGGGTTAATACAGCACTCCTAGCCAGGTTGACAACAAGGCCTTGTTCTCACCTAATTTTCGAAATTGCCTCTTGATATCCTCCGTCTCTGCACTGGGAGTGAGACCCAAGTCCGCGTAGTAGTCTCTCCGCACGTCTGCCTTAACCATCTTGAGAGGACGGCTGGGCCTGCAATTGTTTGCTTCTCGCCGAAGGACTGTGTGCCACTAGAATCACGCCAAGGCTTGACCGTGCTGTACACATGACCTCTCGCGGCGAGCAAAGGGCTAGATTTCGAATGGTCCTCCAAGTAAACGAGCGGCAAAGAACCGACTAGAGATATATAGAAGGAGAGGGGAGAGTGAGGCGATTTGGCGAAAGTTTGCAAACGAGGGATCGAAGTCGAGTTCTATCGGCTCGGAGGTTGCTGAGGGGAAAGGGGACAAAAACAAAGCAATCAATTCGTCGCTGGTTAGCCTTAGAGGCCCTAGTTAGTGCCATGCAGGATTAGCCCAACCCTTGGAAAATATTCCAATATATGTAGCAGTACAAGAGATAACTACTTACCTCCTGCGTCTCTAGTCCAAGGCTGGGGGGGCAGCCTCCTTGATGGGCGATTCAATGAATTCAACAAGAACTTTTTTTCCCTATCGGACAGCGCGCCGCGATAAAGCGTTCCGAGCGAACATGATCTCCCGGAGCAACAATACAGTACGATCATCCACTTCTGGCTCCACAACGACCGACCATTCGAGGTGGCTATTTTGGTCAGCAAGGAAAGAACGAATGCACCGACAGAGCTAGACACAGCTATCGTCAATATAGCACAGGTAAACAGTGAAGTATCTCGAAGAATAAAAAGAACGGAGGAAGGAAGAAAGGAAGAAAGAAAGAAAAGAAAGAAACCTCAAGCAAGGCACGCGAGGAAGAAAACACGAGACGAGACAGTATTGGAGGGATTGGACGGAAAGCAGTTCGACCTCAGCTCGTTTCAGTTTTGGAATCATACGTTGGACTTGTTGTTAAGTGAGGTATAACTTATCAGTGAAATCGATGTAGTGCATGCAATCGGAAGAGAGACACAGAAACTGGAAAGAATGGGAGTCAAACGCTTGTACCTGGACCTGGATCAAAGGGACTCCGGGGTAGTAGTAGTAGTAGTAGTAGTAGTAGTAAGAGTGATAGTAGTTAGTACCTGAAGAAGTCTGGGTGCCCTGGGCAAAGTTAAACAAACATTCACACCTTAACTAGCGTTACCTACCTTCCTTAGTCGGGGACTTATTAAGGTTGGCTTACTTCTAAGTTAGTAGTTACTCCATTTTACCACCGCCAACTCATTGAAACCGGCTTCATCATTTGCTGCCCAATTTGGTATCCTGACTTGGCCTCACCTTTGCTCCACACTGACACCGAACTTTGCTGACCACCCCACTATCTACTTATCTATCGATCTACCTATCTATCCATCCATCTCACTAGGTAGTATTCCTTTGTATGCCGACCTATTTTGACTCTTTTGGGTCGCATTGGTCGCATTGCACCTTATATCCTATATCCTCCCACTCTCGATGGAAACCATCATCCGCTGTTGCTCCTGGATGAGACTCATGACGGTCGACTTCGGCGAACACCAGAGGGATATTCTGGAAGCTATCAGGTCTATGGTATCTCCGCCTGCTACATCATGATCCTTTAGTGGGCTTGATCTAATTTGTATTTGCCTTTTGCTACCGATCTAGGCATAGGGGGCAATTGACTATTCCCACCAAAAACTAACGCTGATACCTCCGTGTAAGCTACGAACATAATGCCACCAGCCCACAGGTATATACAGGCACTCGCCCTCCTTGATGATAGTCTCGACGTACTCTGCCTGCAGGAATCCCGGCCATAGGTCCTCCCACTGTTCAGCCTCGGCCGGGGACATTTCAATGGCTGCCAGATCCACCTGCGAGGTATTCGACATGTCAATCGCTTGAGACTGCTCATCTTCCCTCGCGGTCATCTCTGGTGACGAAGAGTCTTCTCCGTTGATGGATGCAACTAATTCCCTTTGAAGTTGGATGTCTGCTTGCCTATCGCCTTCATTGGAGATCTCGTCCGATGATCGATTCACAGCCTCCTTTCCCTTAGGATAGATCTGCGAGGCGGGCGTATGAGGCGAGTAGAGTCGAACGTACTTTGCGCCCACTACTTGAACAAAGATGTTATGATATGGATCATGGTGCAAGGGTGAAATGGTCCACGACGGACCGATCCAGGTATTGATGTAGGGACCACTTGAATCATCGTTCACAGAGTCATCGCTTGCGGATTCGGTCTCCACAGCGCTGGCATCCACCTGCTCCGAAGCATAAATGTCTGTGTTCGTGATAGTTGCTCCCTGTTCAGCCTTTCTCTTCCTGGATTCCTCCGCTTCCAGCCGCTTCTTGAGATACACGGGTGTACCTGGCTCCGGCCCCGGGGGATTGACATAGCAGTAATCAGGGATACAGATATCGTTTCGCAGAGCTGGAATTTGGGTCAGCAGGTCATGCTGTGCCAGATAACCGGTGGGGCCATCCTGATTCCGGTCCCGATCCAGGTAACCGTCGACGAACTCGCTAAAGGGGATAATCTGCTGGCCCCAGTCGTCATCCGTGTAGGCTCTACCAATCTCCACGGGCACGAGCCTTCGACCATTGAACGTGCGATCATCCCAGTAAGCACGGGAAGACCACGGCCGGGTCGTCAGGGCAGGCCATTGTTCCACTGCATCAGTGATTACCATGGGAGTTCGAGATTTGTAGATATGCGCTCTGAACTGCTCAAACGACAGAGCCGAGACGCGGGGAATGGGATGTTTTATTTGGGGTTCTGGTGCTGCATCCGGGGAGAAGAGAGGATTGCGCTCTGGTTGTTTAGGTGCTGCATGCTGCAGTGCGGATCTAGTGGATGCTTGGAGAGCATTGATCAGGGTCTCGATAAGATTCTCGCGCAAGGGCGCGCCAGTCATGATCAATGCTCGGTCGAGCAAGTGTATAGTGGGCGTAAGCCACGGAGCTTTGGAATCAATGCGAATGTCCTCATCACCTGCATGGTTCCTAAGTTTATAGAGTAGGCGGTAGTAATAAGACTCGTCCAAGTGGGCCGCGGCAGGAAATACGAGATTGGTGCAGACATTGAGGCAGGCCTTCAGGATGCTGGCATCCGTGTATAGCCGACGCCAGCACACGTCAACATCTTTGAAGGGAAAGACGCGTAGGTGGGAGTCTGCTTCCTTGATTGCACCTTCGGGATCCTGTAGCAATACTTTGGAGAGGTCCTTTGAACGACCTGCGCGGCATCTCACAATGGGATCGTCCTCGTCAACTCTCCGGATGGACGTGATTGCGTGGAGGATGACTTTTGGAAGTGAGGCATTCATGGCATCCGAGATATCCCTATCTCTTTTGATGAACATCAAAAGATAGTGCGATCAAGGCGAAGGATTAGAGATGTTACTGGCCAAAGGTGGAGGAGGTTTTTTTGGTTTTGTATCCAAGGTTTCTTTTGGCGGTGGCCCAGCGCCGCCGCGATGTTGAACCCGTTTCCCGACTTCCTTTTTTTCTCCTTGACGGGCCGCCCGACGTCATGCGGGGACACTCAACACAACATTTCTGTGCAGAAGACGGCGGTCTTCGACCTCGAAGTAGACTGCACTGGAAACAAGATATATGATGAATGTTCGGGAGAAAAGCACAATGGATAGCAGAAATAGTGTAGTTGCAAGCAAGGAAAACAATTGGCATAGCATGAGGTTTTCATTTACTTATTCTATATTTACATACATGCGTCCGGCCAGCTAGCGTGCTGTGATCTACATACTATCTGCACAGACGTCCATATGAGCTTCTGCCAGTCACATAATCAACCGAGCAGTTCCATCACTAGTCGGGGGATGCGGGCAACTCCTTCACCCTTAATGGCGCTCACGGGAACAGCGCAGACTCTTTCTTTCCACCCTTCTTGCAGTCCACCCGGGTGATCAGCTTCGCCCTTTTCCACGGCGGCAAGATAGTTCCGCAGCGCTTGAAACTGCTCCTGAGTCTCTGGGAGGTCGGCCTTTGTGGCCACGACAAACCAAGGCTTGGTATGGATCGGTGGCATCTTAAGCTCCGGGAGGGAATTGAGGTCTTGCTTGGGACTGGTGGAACTAGTCTCGGGAACCACGAAAGTAGGTTCTGGCGCTTCCTCCGACGAGAAGAAATCCGGTAGCTCGTCTACTGGTGCAGGCCATGCAAGTTCCTCAAGTTTCGAAGCATGTTCTGCTTCACGCATGCGTTGATATTCACCAAGCTCAAGCCATAAATTCTTGAGACCTTGAATGGGATCACCGGCACTAAGGTCGACGACGAATGCAAGGATACCAGCTCGTTCGATATGTCGCAGAAAACCCAATCCTAAGCCGCGATCAAGGTGAGCACCTTCGACCAGGCCCGGTATATCGGCAATCGTAAAATTCGTCCGCGGCTTCCGGCCTTCTAATTCGACCAGAGGTCTTCCCTTGTGATTATCTATGACAACCGTACCGATATTTGGTTCAAGCGTCGTAAACTCCCAATTCCCGACTCGTGTGCGACTGTTGGTCAATGAGCGTAACAAAGTGCTCTTTCCAGCATTAGGCTTCCCCACCAGTCCAACATCCGCAAGAAGCTTGAGTTCGAATTCAAGCTCCAGACGCTTGCCACCTTCCCCTCTGGACGCGAACTTCGGTCGGCTCATTGCGCGGTGCGCGAAGTGCGGGTTGCCCATCCCACCCACACCACCCGCCGAAAGCAACATCGGTTTATCCATATGACGTGAGAGATCAAGACTGATGGGCTGTTTGGGCTCCAAGGACGCGATGTGCTGCCGCCGCGGCGGACTTTTCGGAAATACCGTAGTCAAATAATCGGACGGATTGGCTCCGGGGTACAAAACCCAACGATCGCGGCGAATCGATGTTATGCCGAACTCCTGCTCTTCCATCTCCTCCGCTTCTTCAGAGCCCTTCATGCGTTCGTGTCGCTGACGTAGTTCCTCCTCCGCGACCGGGTCGTACCGATCGACTTCGCGTACGACCGTACCAACAGGAACCTGGAGGAGTACATCTTCGCCGCGCTTGCCGCCCTTGCTCTTTCCCTGTCCGTTTTTGCCTCGTCCCGCCTTGATGACACCTCTCCGGGCGAGCTTGTGTAAGCTGGTCAGGCCTTCAACGGCCTGGATGTAGATGCTTCCACCGCTGCCGCCGTCGCCACCGTTCGGTGGGCCTTCCTCGACATACTTTTCGCGAAGAAACGAGACGCACCCATCTCCGCCTGAGCCTGACCATATCGTCGAGCGACACTTATCTTGGAATATAAACCGAGAGTAATCGTCCGGTAGAGGATTGAGATGGGAGGTTTCGAGAGGTTGTTGGTCGGGCACGATGGCTTGGCTTATGGGTCCTTGTGAATCAGGGTTGGTGCTATTGTGACGTTGGCAATGCCTCAGCACGCGAGCTAATGCGATGGGGGCTTGATGTAGTCGGGCCGACCGCTGAGCGCCTGAAAGTGGAAATGAGCGTAGGATGCATGTTCGTTGAGCGGCCATGATGAGCGTTCGAAAATACTAGCGGATGTTGTTCATTGTCAGACAAACACTTCACACTTGTGGCTGAAGAGATTGTACGATCAGTTGCAATTCATCTTCTCCTTTGCTTGGGAGAGCTATGAATCCAGTTGCAGATTTGTGATGCGTGCTTGGAGATCGGCAATGGTCGATGCGTATGACTTCAGTGTCGTAGGCGAGGAAAACTGACGATCATGTGACGTTATCGGCACATGATGATAAGATATCTCCGTATTTGGAGCTTTTCTCCGCTGATGGTTTGCGCGGGTGTGCTCCTCGTTTGTAGAGCAGCTAGACAACTCACCAGTACGATTGGATTGTCATCCTCAGGCCTTGATTCAAACTGATATCTGAGCTTATACACGGAATACATGTGCATCTTGCAGCATACAGGCCTATGGGCACCCGTCAGCATGTGCACGATGCTCACGCTGCAATAATGGATATATATCGGAGTGGACGAGTGCCTGGGATATGCACGACACAGACAATGCCCACAAATCTTCAAACTTGTCAACGGGCAGTGAAAAAGCCAAAAGCATCACCTGAGTATACCCAAGCGAGTCTCTTCAGGCCATTACTCAAGAAGATGAGATTGTTGCAGAACGCCGATCCAGATTTCCACAAACCGTGACTTGGAAAAAGGTAAGCAATCCTGTGTACATACAGGGTACTGCTGCGAAAGGTGAAGACATATAGGCTCAAATAGCCAAGCCTCTCATCTACAATTGCAGGACTCTCACCTCAAAATGCGCTCGCATCTCTCCTGGCATTTTTTCTCTACGCTTAACTTCCAACACCAGGCTTAAGGCAGGGGGTGGGCTTTGAAAACTCGTTGGGTCACTAGGCTGGGAGAAGTTGCCTTCGCGGGCAGCATCGAGGTGGACTATGCAGGACGGCATGTCTCGTCTGCACACCGTCTCGAGACGGCATTGAGGCAGCCACATGCTGAAGGACCCGGAGTCAAGCCGTGGTCGTAGAAGTAGCCATGATAGCCAGCCAGCAACCCCTCCCTTATCCAAGCATCGGCCAACCGGTGATAGTATGCATGGCTCCAACTTAGTGTTCAGGAAAGAAAGGAGAAAGTCGATTATCATTGCAGCGACGCCATCAATAAATGGCAAGTGAGTATTCCCGCAGACCTCATAGAGCATTCCAAGTCCACCAGTTGGGACCCGAGAACCTGAGTGAGAGAGCTACCGAAGTCGTTGAACACGCAGGTCGAAAAACCTGTGGCGCAAAGACGCACAAGTTAGTAACGGGTTATGATCCCGGTAAATGGAATTGGGTCTGCAAATAGAGGCATAGGGGGTAAACATACGAGATGCATGGCAGCAAGCCCTACGTTGCTGTTGACGAGCAACAAAGGAAGTGTCTCAATTCTTGCTTCATTGCCATCTTGACAAATGACCGTGACCGGTAAGCTGACAGCACTGGAACTGACAAGCAAGTCCGAGACGCTTATGCTGAGTGACACAATCTCTACTCACCAAGGACGCAAGAATGCGCGCGCGCGACTCGCGCTCTGACTAATCCCTTTCGAAGGATTGATTTCGAACAATATAGCCCTGCGACAGACTCGCTCCCCAGCACCATAGCAACCAAGCCACATGTATGCTGCACAAAGGGTCAGGATCTATGAGATTCTCAGATTGGTTGGTGAGTTCAAGTGAAGGCAGCTCCTCGTCTTTTTCCTGGAATCTGGACTGTTCCCCAGAGTGGCAAAGAAGCGACAATAACATTGTGGGCCCGACAAGTGGGTCGCAGCTTTGGACGTGTCATATTTGACTTGGGCCAATAGACAACGTAGACCGGCGGGACAAAGAGACAAAACTGCAGCACTGGGCAGATAAGAAAGAAACCTCTATGCGGGCAGCAAAGAGAGTCAGTCATGTGGGGTGGGGGGAAGTGAGTGATAGGGAGGGAAGTCCAGAAGGATTCATAGAGTAATTCGGATGTTTAGACAGGGATGGAAGTGGGAGGGGAGGGGGTGAATCCGCGGGTCTCCCGCCACAAGTTGTCCAGGACCATCCGTCTCTTCATGGACCTATCATGAACCCCGCTAAGCAATGAGGGTGTCAAATTGTTCAAGATGTCATGATGACCAGCCTTGAGCCAGCGTTTCAGTTTTTCAACCACTTGCGTAGGGGGTGGGAAAGTTATCCGCCAATGCCTGTAAACAGCTGATGCACAAAGACGAGTGACACCCAGTCTGTCTATGTAGAGTCATAAATTGGGAGTAAACAGTCACCATAGTCTGGTCTTTTCTTTCAACGTTAGCCTGGCTTGTCAATTACAAGTTGATCGAACCCTCACTTTTAGGTCCAGGTCAGACTTCCCTGGCAAGGTATCTGCCTAGCCGAAAGTAGATTGGTACTTTCCGAAGAATTGTTCCCCAGGTACTTTTGCCCATGCTGTGCCCCGAACGATCGGCTCCTCTGTCTATCCAAGTTGAGCATAAAGTGGCTTGTCGGCTCCAATCTAGCTGCAGATGATCCCTAGGTCATACATACGGTAGTACTATGAAAAAAAAAAAAGGCTGTTCTTTTCACCGACTCAGCGATCAGTAACTTAGCATCCTATAGTTATCACCATCTCATTTGACGTATCTGCGATATGTAACTGATCGACCCTTTCCAGTCCAAAGATGAGTGGGGGTGTCTATTTTGGTACCATCGAACTCTAGAGCCTAGGCTCTCGGATGGTAGAGTAACCCGTGCATGTATCGATACTGGGGAATGTCAATACTGTCATTGCCAAGGGGGGTTAGGTAGATCGTCGACGGAGGCGGTTGCATCTACATCGAACCTGCATGTATTACGACGACTCGCAAAATCAAGGCTTTTGTTTCTTTGTCTGGAAGATGGAGATCTGCTCACAAATTCTCGATCAAAGTCGATCAAGAAGCCAACGCAGATATTGTATTATTCGGTTCTTGATACCATCTCACCGATGCATCAAGACAATGCGCCGTGGCAGAAACGGGAAGATCTCGGGACTCAACAGTGACAATTGACATCTCATTGCTGGCTAGGCCGGTAGTAGGACGCTTGGCTATGATAGCATAACTCCAGCTCCCGACAGGAAGCTCATTCAGAGCACAGCACGTGACATCACATGACTTGAGTGAGTATACGCTCTTCCAAGGCAAGTGGTCAAACACCCAATAGGTGTCGGAGACCGCCTCGCTGTAGCAATGCCCATGATACGCACGATGACTCTGGTTGTTCTGAGGGTCTGCGGTCGCATATCGCGGTCACGGGTTATTCATGAGCCTGCCTACAACGAGAGACGATTACCAAGTTAGGTAAAAGGTCCCAAGGACGAGCATAGTTTGAAAGTATCCGGTCGAGCAGCGACACCCGTGGACCTGTCCCACCACCACCAATACCACTAAGCCTGCTACGCGACAGTAGTCAGGTGAGATCGGCTATGGGAGTGCCGTGGGCGACGAGAAAGTTGTGCAACCCGATGCCTGAATCCCAAAGATGTCAGACATTGAAACAGCAGCAGGTGCTTGTAGGAGTAGATGGCCGTGGTGGGTCGATAGATAGACGGTGGCCTCCACATAAGGCGAACGATGAAACAATCGAGCATGGCGTACGGAACGCGTACATGCAGCTTTTTCTGCATGTATGCAGTTCATAGAGTAGCCCAGTCTCTCGGGCTCATGGTTCGGAGGGAATGTCCACATGCTACCCTCCACTACTAGTATGAGTTCTAAGGTAAAGTTACGGTAGGTTAGATAGTACAGTACCTTAGGCAGGTACTCCGTAGTCACTTGCGGTACCTGGAAAGGGCTGAGCAAGCTAAGAGTGAAGGAGCCAAACCGCGACAGCAGTCGAATCAAGAATCCCTCCGCCATAAGCGCAGCAATTCAAATGTACGGACTGTACTGTCATGATCTGGAGGCAAGTAACCGATCAACAGCGAATCTAGACGCGACACTGGTCCATCGCCTAGATAGAGATGGTGGATGATGGGCCGACGTTCACACAGAGCAACCTACATGACAATGCCATTGGTCTATAGTCTGTGAATGATGCGGCAGTAGTACGGTCGTCACGCAATATACCAGTTGTTTTCTTTGTTCTCCATGGCGCGAGGGTCAATCGGTGTGGATGGCCTGACAGGGCACACAAAGTACGCTTTCTGTGTTACGAATCCCAGCAAGGACTATGGAGGAACCATGAAAGTGCTGAATTCCTAGCGACACTAACAACCTCGTCAGGGAGACTACCATGCATTCGATTGATGTTCTGATGTAGGGTGGGGACGCCCACGTTGAGAATGAGTGGGTACGCGATCCTCGCGACCACTTTTTCTCAAGTATATGTACAGTACTCCCATACGAATAATGAACCTATGTGAGTAGTCACGGCACAAAGTAGGTTAGCTTGTTTAAACCCCTCTCTTTCCCCTCTCCTCCGATAACAATGATGATACATCTCATCCATGTCCCCGAACCAGTTTTACCGCCTTCCTTGGATGAACAGCCACCGTTCGACCAGGCCTGAGGCTCCGCAGTGGAGGCACCAGCCAAACAAAAGGGAATTGGGCGAATGGGGTCGCGTTCCTGATACCGTCGGAAGGGGGACGATTTGCTTCCCCTGCAGCTCACAGCTCACATGATCGATGTCGAAAGCAGACGCAACCCTTTCCTCTCCGTCTTCCCCCCGGGCCGGCTAGAAATGGTTCTAAGATGGGGCTAATAAGTTATTAGTGTGCGCGGCAAAAAAAGAAAAGTCTAATGTCTGGAAACCGGGTTTAAAAAATGAAGGGTAAAAAAGAAAAAGGAGGCAAGGAAAAAAAAAGGCTAAAAGTCGATCAATCATTAATCACAATGAGTCAAGAAGTGATTGATGTTCTTTTAGGAACTGGAGAACAGACCCATCCATCCTCGATCGTTACCCGTCGCCGCGGCACCGGATCCCAACTTCCGTTGGAGTAAGAAAGTCCCATTCCAGTATTTTCTCCTTCATTTCTCTTTGAGATCCATCCTCCCACCATCATTTGGCTTCGCCACCTGAGGGGTTCTTTTGCAATTGTGACTGTGGCTTCGCGCAAGTGCCGATGCGGATGGATTCGCTATCTACAGCAGTGCCCAATTCAGGGAAATCCTGACGTATGACCTACCT